AATTATATCACCTATCTTGAATGTGCTGAGCCCAGTTATTTACAATCGATTCAACTGCGCGCACGTCGTCCTTGAAGCATCAATAGAAGTTGACATATTTGGTAGAAAGAGAAGTGTGCATTGTTCGTCTCTTGTCATTTATTGATCAACTCAAAAGAATGTGGAGGGTTAAAAATACGTAGTACTGGTGGCATCAGTCTAATGAGGAGTGTATCGCTAGGTGATGTTAATTTTACAAGAAAATGTAAAATCTTTAATGTCATTGTGGGTGACATGTAAATCAACGGGAGTGATTTATTCATTTCTTTACATAAAAGTGCAATGTACATTAATTTATTGCGTCTTTGGTGTACCACTGCTTGCTTATTCTCACTCTACTATAATGTTATTCTTTTATGGCAGTTTATCCAGCAGTCTTCTAGTTACCCTCATGGGTGTTAGTCAATTAAATTGTCAACGCCGCATCAACCGATTTGTTGGTGTTTGCACAGCGCTTACCGAACTAATGGTAAAATGGGTGTTCACTTACAATCATAGCATTTTTTTCGCCTGTCTATTTGTCTACCATTCCTCTACGCTTTTTAGCCCTAAATATGCTTAGGCAAAGATTTTAAAATTCACATTTTTTCTAATCTGCAAGATCTTGTTTTACCTTTTAAGAATAGCATCATGGAAATCCGAAAAGAGCATTTTATCTATGAAGCTGATGTCCTATTATGTTTTACTTGCAGTGTTCAATTTTGACACAGGCGGTTTACTGTTACCTCGGGTGGAAGACTTTTAATAACTTCTGTCCTTCCTTTTTGTAACCGCCTCAGACGGTAGGGCTGGTTTGTCTTTGCACTTCTCGATGTTAACTGCATGTCCTCTCTGCAGGACCTGAGACCTGACTGGAACCTACACTCCACTGTTGTTTGAGTTCTTCCAGTGACCACTTCTTTCTGGCTACATGTTGGTGCAGCTGACGTGCATCGTCGAAAATATAAATGGCCAATTTCCTTACTCAACATCCACTTCACACCAATATTCCATCGCCATGACTCAGTACTCATTCTCGAAGGCTGTCTGTTGTTTGCCATTCGTATTTTTAACGTCTGCTGGCACTTAGCCAATTTCACTTTGCTCATCCTGGCGTCATTAACATGAAGAACTTTGCTAAAAATTTGGCTCACTAACCACCGATGGACAAAGGATTTGTCGATTTTGTTAAAAGCCATCGCCAATCCCAACGAACAGCTAAGGTACCTCAGAAACTCCAACCGGTACTTTAACCTTAGGCTAGGTGTGCTTTGGCTACAAATCTATCTTGACTTCGCCGGTCTAATCGATGTTTTGTTGAATGCGTTTCAAAGTGGTCGTGGATAGCACCTGCAATCCCTGTTACGACCGCTATGACGTTACAAGTGCTGACCCAAATCGTCAGCCAACACTGACTCCCTAATATGTTGGTTACGGACAGCAGAGCACAATTTACTTCACAGAAGCTCCATTACTTTTCCTGCCATCCTACCATTGTGCATATTCTCCCTCAACTCTTTCAGCTTCAATCCAACAGACGGACGGAGCGGTTCCTTGTCAAACTCAAGCAAGTGCTATTGAAGTCTTGAAAAGGTTTTTACTGACGTATCGTAAAACTTCGAGTAACCTCGGATAAACTGTTAATCAAATGCAAATCTCAAAGAATATTCAAGCTCCCTTCAGCCAACGCAGTTACGCTTTAAGGCCATAAAAAGAATATAAAGGACGTGTACTAGATGCCATAATAAAAATTAAAAGACACACTGCCCTCTACCTCCGCAATTATCGCCGAGACCAACCAATTAGTCTGACAAACACTGAGAAAACAGCAGCTAAACAATATAATCTACTAATGTACATACTGCACCCATGGGATCTGCTTCATGTAGTACTATCGGAAAGTAGTTCCAGGTCGTTCTGTCATGTGTACCAAGTTAGCGAGCGTAGAATAAGGTGCAGAGCGAAAAGTTGGTAAACTGCCCTTAAAATTCGTCGCTGCTGCCATTCCTACTGGAGACACTATAGATATTTTGAAGTTCGCACGGTATTCTCGCTCCCTTTCTCCTGTTTGGTTCCAATCATGTACTGTTGCACTTTACATGCATAATCGCATGCTACGAGACTAAGTTCAACCAGTCTCCATAATCACGTGGATTTAAAACTAGCTCATGACCTCGAAACGCTCTACTAACCGGCTAGGCTTTTGCGTATACCCACGTCGTTCTACAGCCTTACTCACTCATTTGTCTCTGCAAATACAAGTCTCACCTATTAACTACTACGTTTTGAATGTCAACAGAATATGAACTTGCGCATATAAGCCTCTATAACACAAAATGTAGGAGACGAACAATTTGACTACGATTTGAGATAGTGCCGGAAGAAGTAAAAAAGTGATTGGGAAGGAAGGAGTGGTTGATTAAGCCAAAAGACTCAGCGAATCTCCCAGTCATGATCCCTTGTTTATCGGTAAGCTCTACATTAAGCAGCCTCCTTACTAGACAGAACTTCAATGGCCAACATTTATTTCCACATTTAGCTACATTTATCACGATAAGAGGTGTACTGACACCTCTAACATCTACCATAAAATCATCCAAACAAGGAATTCTACTTAATTCCTCATCATTTACTTTATTGTATCAATTACGGGGAAATCGGAGGAAGAAAAGGATGGAATGCAGGAATTGGACGTAGTGAAGAAGGGACACAAATTGAAGGCCAACTTTATGAGGTAAGTGAATATCTCGGAATTAAGCAAAAAATAGACAAGCAATCGTAGGAAGAGAAATTCACTAAGAGTATTTCGACCCACCATCTTTGACTTTCCTTCTTATAATCTATCCCGATATTTCACAAACGCAATATCAGTTCCTCCTTATTCCTCTCCACCTGCACCTGTTTCTCCTTCTTCTTTACTGACATAATAATCAAGTGGAATTTTAGATTGTCCTTGTTAAAATGCCTAGGGGGTCCACTTTTCTTTGCCACTGCTAAACTTCTCCACTGTTTCAATCTGAGAGAGCGGTAATGTTGTCGAGGGGAACGGCGTAGTCCATGCGATGATACGGCTAGAAGAATTAGAAACAGGACAATCAGAAGTGGTAGACGCATGGCAGAAAATATTGTCTGAAATAACACAAGACCACAACAACTTAAGGTGATGGCAGCCATGGCTAGCACACTCATTACTTCTCATTGGCTATGCTGGGACTCATGCCAATGGAGAAGGCGCCACGTGACCGATGGGAGTGGTGGCTTCAACAGGCAGATCTTTCATCTGCCTCTGTCACTGAATTTACACTCACTTGGCATTTTTTGCCATTTGCGTCAGCCATTCCCTTATTTTTGCAAAAAAATTGTCTCACAACTCAAAAATCTGATCTACCCAGTGAGGTAGGAAAATAGGTAAATGTTTTCCAAGTCAGATAAATAGAAATGAATCTAAAGGAATGGCGCCTTATCTTAGTGACCAACATGAAAAATTTCTCTTGGTTGTCATAATGCTTCCCTCTGTCGAGAATGTAAGATGGTGCGAGATGACCACAGTGTGGCCACCGCACTACTTTCAGAGTAATTTTCTAGAACTGACCATCCATGAAGTCTCTTAAGGGAAATATTTTCTTCATAATGAACTGCACGAAAAATTCCTTTAGTGGTAGCACGTGTGATTTGGTATCATTCTGGATGCCAGCCTTGAGCAATCGACTAACCAATGAGACTATTTTTGGTACTACTTGAGGTGCGCATCCAAGTGGTGGGGTAAATGGTGTCTTTATTGCACCAGTTGACCCTCCAGTTGAATAGAGTTTGTCATGCGAATTCTCCTCTTTGTAATTTGTCTTTCACACGTGCACCGAAGGACATGTATTTATTTTTTTCCTGGAGCAGTTAGACCACGCCATTTTAAAGAAATACTTCGGCACAAATATAATGGAAGTTGATCTTCGTGTCTACTGAGTTTCGAGCAAAGTGGAAAGTTATTTAAGAGAGGTTGGGAGGAGGGCGGGTCATCAAAGTCCAGCTGCAAAAAAACTGCCAAATGGAAAAGGTTTAGATGTGTTTCTATTACCAAAATCCAGCTACCACTGAAACAGCCGCAGTAGAGTTATTACTTACCCGAACAAATATGACTTTGTTCCTCATTTCACTAAGGTAATCTTAGAAAACAGAAATTGCCCTTGCTGTAGCTGTGATATTTGGTGGACAATATTTCTACTACTTATTTAATAGTAACGTATTTTCCGCCTTCGTAATTCCATTGCGTAATCAAACTTGCGCTTAACATAGGCATGTCTCCCAACATTCGGTTGTAAGCTCATTAAAAACTGCTTAGGTAATCAAAGTGACACTTAAAATGCAGCCAAAAATAAATCTTTTTGTGTAAAGATGTCGGAGATTTCAGCAATTCCAAAAAAGCGTCCTGGTCGGTGTCCTGGCAATTTTCAGTTCTGTGACTATTTTCGAAAGTTCCTGGTAATATCGCACTCTTTGTTACTTGAGGTCGTGTTTAAGAGCCCTACAACTAAGATCAATCAGGCACTATAAATTCCTTCCCACCTATTTGCATGTACATGCACGTCGGTTAAGAGACATCTACACTAAAGTCCTTGCCTGTCACCTATCCGTCGGGGAGATGGATAGGGTCTAAGCAATTCGCGCATGGAAATAACTTTATAAAATTTTTGGTGGACCTAATTTTAAGGGGGGATTGCATTATTTAATTAAATTAATTGACGAATTAAGAGTAAACCACTAATATATGCATAATGCTTTATTAGAATAAAAGGTTAAAGTGACGAAGTAGGTGCCCTGATTGCACGAAAATACTATTCTTATGAATGATGAAGCTCTAACATATTCGGTACTTAGGTAACACGTTCATTACGCTCTAATTTTCTTGTTGAGAATCACACGCCTTTAATTACCCATATTTGAAATTACAAATAATTTGAAAATCTTTGTACATTTAATCCTTGTTTGAAAAAAGAAGCATTCAAGATATGATTGCTGAAACCACTTACTTGAGCAAATGCCACATGAAGGATACAAGATCTGGATTTAATTGGGCTTCGAATGGATACCAGCTTATTTGGCGTTTTTTTTAATAAGCTTTATAAAGGGAGCGGATACTTATACTAACTTTGGATATGTAAGGTTAGCAAAATATTTGCTCCGGTGGGTACTCTGCGCTCGAAATCAAGTGTGCCTGAGTAACCAATTCTACCCTGCTTAAGCGTTAGTCACCTTTATCACACACATTGTCAGTAATTGACACCAATCAAAGGTAAAACGATGAGAAAGTTTCCTAAAATTTATGCACATTAGGTAAAAGTAATAGCTTCAGAGACACTCAAAGAGTGTATACTAGTTTTACACCTGGTCTCCAATGCAGATAGAACCATAATACGTTAAGATTTTCTAATACCCAAACACGGTAATGGCGAATTCTAATAGTTTGACCATGTTCAATTGTTTCTGAGAGACCTTTCAAAGTGTTGCAATCTTACTCATTAGTTCTCATCAAACCCGCTATCCCAAATTAATTTAATGCTTGGCTTAAGCTTAGAAGAGAAAATGAAAGCAATAAATATACTGATATTTCTGCATGAACCCAAGCTATAAACCCTTAGGTTTTTTACACATCATAGATTTCCTTATTTACATATACAGGTGGATTTTCAGAGCTTTCAAAATGGGGACTCATGCTTCCTTGTGATCAGGTCCAGTATGAAGTGAGAAGGCCAAAATGTTTAAGTGTAAAGCATGATTGTGACACTGACTGCACTGCTGGGGCTCACGCAAGCCGTTGGATCACGAAGAGACCAACAGCAAGAGCTCAATGGCTGTTTTGACGTGTTCCCACTCAAGGCTGCCAAGTTTTTAGCGCCAAGTGATGGCTGTATCCTTTCAACTCCTGACAGCCTACTTTATTGTTATCTTTGACTTACCAATCAGAACTCCGCAGTCAATCGCTTTTGATGAGGCTTTTTTGTACAAAAGTTGCATCAGTAGTCAGAGCTCTGCCGCACGTATAAAAGGTTCTTGATTAAGGACAGGGAGGATCTACTTATTTCTGCCACTTCCAGATTCTTATTTTAAGCTCCTTCACCATTGTTGTCATTCTACTTTCCGTGATCATGCGACCAATTTAATACAGTTTCAGACATCTCTTTCATAAATGAGCCAGAACAGGCAGTTGTCATGAGAAACATGCATTATGCATAATTCGGGAAGAGATGTACATTTCCTACAGGTAATCAGGCCACCAGAACACGTAGTCCTTCTCGTTTGTCCTAAACCTAACTCTTAAAGATAAATGTTCAATCCTTACCTCTATCGGCAAAGTATATTACTGAATGAAGAAAATTAAGATGGCTAATCTGGTTCTTCAGTCCTATTACGCGTTCCATATCTTGCCGAGCCAATATGTCCGCCAGAGACGGGTTCAAAGAGTATGCAGTCCCTGCTACACAATTCAAGTCATAAGTCAACTTATTTCTTGATCAAGTGTCATGCAGCCCCCCCAAATACGCCTCGAAGTCGTAGTACCAAAAAAATACATACGCCTAACCCGGTGAGTGCCTGCAGGACTATTGGTCTTGCCCGAGTGGATGTGCAACTCACGGCTGAAGAGACCGTGGTGTTAACCAAAATGCAAACATCTTAATTTCCCATACCAAACTGCGATAACCAAGGGATGATTACTAAATAGAGATTGAAAGAAAAACACTACAATTAGTAGACATAAAAGTCTAGCGTTGGGTAGATTTCCCAACCCAATATCGTACTGTTTCTTGTAGCGAGTATGAGTTCATAAAAAGTAAAAGAAAACTGTCCATCAGATTATTTTTATTACCACCAAATACAAAATTATCTTTCTTAAGTATCGGTGATGAATGTACGGAAGGACGAAGGAAGAGGAGTGATAGAAATGTCCGAAAGATAGGAAAAATATGAATAGAACATTATTTCCCACCTTTGCGAGTAATCTTCTTAAGGCTCCCCTTCACAACCTGTTTGATGGCTTGGTCCTGTAATTTTTGCTTCCACGATTTAGGTTTTTCCTTACTTTTTCCTCTAAAGAAGGATTTCTTTTGTATCAACATAGCGTCACCACTGCGATGATGCCTTTTTGCATCTGCAGTCGACACAACTGCAAGCACAAGAAGGAAAAGAATAGTGAGGCTGAGAAGCGAGACACGCATGATGTATGCCCTGGAACGGCGTTAAATGTCAAATGCTGCCTCATTTTTATACGGTAGACCCACCTTAAATCTCATTTCTAGTGGCTGTGTGGCAATAATCTAATCACCATGAGAATATTTTTGGGAAGCACTTATAATCATTAAGGCGATTGAACAACCAGCGTCTTCAGGTATGTGTCAGGTATCATCATTGCCATCAACAGTAGATAATCTCAGCCTAGAGGACATTATCTTTGATCCTGGCCGTAAATGTTACAAAAAGGAGACGATCTCTTTGAGGAGACAAATCTGTACATATTTTATATATATAAGTTGGCAAGCATTTCCACTTCGAATTAAAGTGTAAGCTAATGACGACGAAGCATTAACAGACTTCTCCCCTACTCTAGTTTACACTGGGCAAAAGTCTGCACCAAGCGTGACCAGCATATAGAAAAAGGCCACTTTTGGTGTGATTTAAGTCTACCCCACCATCGTTCTTGTTATGATGTTGATGAAACTTTATAAGGAGATTTGTGGTAACAGGGATTGAAGGCTGACCATGGTTAGGCCAGGAAAAGGTGTTCACGATTAAGAATGAGAGGCATTTCTCAGCAGAAGGAGATAATTTAAAGGTTCCAATGTGGAAGCCACATAGGTCACTTGATACCTTCGTTAAGCTGCGGTTTGAGATCTTCTCTGCGTTACAAAATATCAGCAAAAGCACCTTATCATTCGTTAACAGAATTATTGAAAGGAATTTTTTAAATGTGAGTTATTCATCTGATCATGAGTTATTCTACACCGCCTTGATGGGTTGATTTGAGTGGTGTCAAGATCCACTCGCAACTGGGTTAGCATGGTTTAGTGGCTTTCGGTTTCAGAGTTAAACGCAATCAAAAGGAACCCCCTAGTCTGGAGGTGGCACCTCATTTTTAGACACCGTGATGCATTTAATGTCACATGTTTCATCCTGTCTCGCTTTGCTCCCTTTCTGAGAGTAATTTCTCGTAACCTTCACCAATGCAATCATTCATATTTGTGAAATGCTTTAAGCTACAACTAATCAACTCCAAAAAAATATTTCTTTAGATCTATTAGCCTCCTAATAAGGGAAAGCCAACCTTTGGAAAAGTAACTTAGACATTTTGGTAGGGCTAGTTTGAATGTACCATCATTCAGACATCCTTGATACGTGCCATCTCCATGAACTCAGAGTCGAAAGGAATTTTGACAATTGCTTCCAACCCGTTCGTCTCAGTGATGAGATCTAGGCTGGCACCTGGCATCATTTGGAACCCCGACGCTATCGGGTCCCAATTTACCCACCAAAACAAATTTATCATGGTCTAGGGATTATCTTAGCATTCACTAGCCTTAGCATCCATTAAAAGTTGAAATGTAGGTTGCAGTCAAGAACAAGAGCGTTACCTCCATGGCTAGGCGTCAGTGCCACCTCCATTAAGTGACGCTAATTACACAGGTTTAAGTACAAGCGTTCTCTAGGCTTTAGCTTCGGCAAGGCGTTAATTGACCAAACTCACTGCATCCGAAAAACCTTAATGCTAAGACGGGTAGTGAGTTGGCGCCTTTTCAGACGGCCTTTTAATCCTAGGCACTGAAAGCTGGTGGACTGCGTCACCAAATAGGAGGTTTCCTACTTAGTTTCCGAGCTTCCTTCAATGCACTGCAAGGCCTTGAGCTTTCGCAAATATTGCCCAACCCATCTTCAATGTGGGATTAGAAGTAGTGCCTCGAGCCTTTCCTTAAATTGTGGTAAACCAAAGTAGTGCAGAAGAGCGCACTTTGTTAATGCAAAGAAGAGTTAAAGGGCTATACTACAAAGCAGAAGGTAAAAGTACAGCCTGCTCTGCAGAGAGTGAAGTACCTACATTCTATAGGTCCTCACTTTTTTGGCATGGCCCCCGGAGCACCTCTCGATCAACTTCTTCCGTTGTTAATCCAATCGTAGTGGGTGCTTTAAAAACCACGCACGAACCAGGAGCACTGGTAACTAAATTGCCTTTCATGTGAGGTAGCATTTGATCGCAAGGGCACTGACCTATCTCGACAACTCCACTTTGCCTAGAGTTTTAGCATATTTGTTACCCATGTTGAGAAAGGGGAAGTGAACCGACCGTTTACTGCTCAGGACCGGTTGACAGCAGTAAAATTAAGGACTTTTGGCTACATGCTAAAATAAAGTCTTCTTGCCTAGTGACACTAATTGAAGCATTAGCCGTACATAAGGGGATACCCGACCACTCCGAAAGCATGTAAACGTTGGCACAATGTAAAGCACAACATTTCTGAAAGTGTAATGAGACAGGTCCCTGTAAGAGTAAGTTAACCACCAATATTATGTCGAAATGCGGCAATTGTTGAGTCCACTTGGTTAAGTGTATTAATAAAACTAGTTCCTTTCGGCCACAAAATCAAAAATGGATAAGCTATGAAGAATTATTGACCAATCATTACTGACCTTTCCAATATATCTAGTAAATTTTAGTAGGTGGTGCGCATACTGTCTGGACTTTGTAAGTTTTTCTGTACTATGGTGCAACCTAAAACTAAAATCAAGGCTTAGGAGGTTGGATGCAAAGATTATGCTCGGTTTGATCAAATATGATGTGTTTGGTGTAGGTAAAGAGGGTCAGATATAAGCTTGAGCACTTTCGTATAACATACATCAAACTGATATGAGAGTGCCTTCTTGAAAACCTGATTGATTGCTTTGTACACAAAGGCATACACCGGTGAAGCCAATTCGCCCTCCTTGTATTGAGTGAAGTGATAATCAGGCTGCGCATATGATGATGAATCACTTGGTGCATGGGTACTTTCAAAATTATTTCCCTCACACTCAAGCGACATGTATAATAACTAAGGCATAGGTCACTTACGTAGGTCAGCGAACGCTTCAGAAGCCTAATTACAAAACCCTAATTAAGGATTCATATATCGCACTAACAATTTTCGTCTAATTTGAGAACCGTTACAAGTACTCCATAATGTGTCATGTTTCGGGAGCATGCCAAAACTCATAAAGTGGTAAACAGCATTTTATAAAACGGCAGTAAATAAACGCTGCTAAAATTGGTAGATCTACTTTTAAGACACTGCATCGAAAAATAAACCTTATGAACAAGTACTTCATAGTGTATGCTAAGATTACCAAGTAGCTGCTCTAAAAGAACAGTGTTAAGGATTTACTGAGCCAAAATTTTGCTTCTGTAAGGTGTTATTGCCATTTATTATTAGAAGAAATAATTTTGCAGCCGATGGACCTGTCACTTCAAAAACGACTAAAGAAAGGCACAATAATCCATTTGTTTTGGAAAATTATGCTGCAAATTGTGACCTACAGGAATAAGTTGTGGTGTTTAGCTGTATTGTTGTACATCAATTAACCTTGTAGCAAGGACGATGGGATGTCTGTGATCGAGTTGTTTATTATGATGTTTGGTATGTGTAGCAGTCTTAATTGCGTCGTACTTTGTGTTTAATTGATATTGCGGCTGTAATTTTCTTGTCGATCCTAAATTTCATATAATTCTTGACTAGGACACATTGTTGCAATCATTGCTCTGGATTTTCACAGATAAGCGGTCATTATGAGCCTACTTTCATGTGCATGCTTTTGAAATTATAAATCTGCCTTTTGTATGAATGTATCATTGGGTCGTATTCGTCTAAACAGGTTGGTGCTGAATTTAATTACCTTTTTCGTTTAACATGGGATAACGCTATTATTAGTGAAAGTTCTGTTTTCCATTTTGCAGCATCATTATTAAGCAATTTTTGCCTTACTGGTTGCGTTTTTGTGAACGGCTGGTTTGCTAATATTTTTATGGTTGGGTAGTCGCCATCTGAATAGATATGCCATAAAGGTTTTCTTCCATTTTCGAGATATGCCTGAACGTCAAAATGAATAGTCAATGGTCCATTTAATTACACCCTTTCGTTGTCGATGAGAGGGAACAATTTGCAGATTAATTTCTATCATTAGAAAAGGCCCGTTGACGGAGTTCATTAAAGACTGACTACTAGATATTTGGCATAATCTTTGCAATTTGTAATGCAACAAATCTTACCGAATCGGGTGGCTTTGCTTACACTACGAAAGACTTTGGATCTCTGGCATGCGTTTAACTTCTGCGGAGTTTTGTTTCCTTTTTCAATCAAAGGGTTTTGAGGGGCTACCGAGGTACATAGTCAACTTGTTGCTGTTTTTCTTTGAGTTATTAGACAACGTCATGATTAATTTCACAGCCTTGGGACAATTAATATGAGCAAAGTTCCAGCCCTCCCAGTCTCTAAGTAGTTGTCCTCCAGGACAATCGTGCAGCATCTCAATTCTTGTTTGAATAATTTTGGATGACTTTATTTTACAATCTGTATTCTTGGCAAACTAGAAGTGGGTCATTCACGAATTGTACCTCTATGGTCTCTCAGTGGTTAACACCAAAGTTAGTTGTACCACCGCTAGAGCCGCATTTACCCCTTTCTTTCGTTTTCCCTTCGTCATATCTTTTCTCGTTTCCCCTCCTCCCAGCCACTCACCGAACAAGCACGATAGTCGATTTTCGCACAGATCGATGTGGCAATAAGGGTGGCAGAGGAGAAACTGGAATTTGAGCACGGCAACCTTTATCTGGATAACTCCCTAACCGATACAGCGAGGAGGTGGAAAGACCGTCGCATGCAGCTGCTGCCCGCTTTTATTTATGGCGATCGAGACTTCTGCTACTGCTCCGGACCTGATTGTGGAATTTATGCAGTCCTGATCGACACTTCGTGAGTTACTATTCTCTCATGCATCTTCTTTGGTACCGCCTCCACCTCTGGAAGCATCAGTGTATTTATCTGCTAAATTATGCTCCCAATAGGTCAAAGATAGCTTTGTCTATATTAGTATAGCGTCAAAGATATTCCTGTAGGCATTATAAGACTTGAGAATGTCAAAATAGCCTCTTTAACTTGTAGAAGGCCTAAAAAACCAGTAGTAGCGGTTGAGCCCCAGAGGAAAGGAAAGGTTTAGGCAGTAAAAATTCAATTAAATAATTAATCCATCGGAGTAGTCTGCTTCATTGGCGATCGTATTATTATGGCGTATGCAAGGTAAACCAAACGCCGAGCTAAAATCACACAATTCAATGTAGGTCGTCTTATGCGACCACGAATGTATAGGCTAGCTTCCTTCTAGCGGCTCCTTTGCTCTTACTCTGTTGCTGGAATTCCATCTCCGTGGTAGT